CAAAGATGATTAGACGAGGTATGGAACCTGGTGGACTGTCAAAGATAAGACGATGTATGGAATCTGGTGGACTGTCAAAGATGATTAGACGAGGTATGGAATCTGGTGGACTGTCAAAGATAATTAGACGATGTATGGAATCTGGTGGACTGTCAAAGATGATTAGACGATGTATGGAATCTGGTGGACTGTCAAAGATGATTAGACGATGTATGGAATCTGGTAGACTGTCAAAGATGATTAGACGAGGTATGGAATCTGGTAGACTGTCAAAGATGATTAGACGAGGTATGGAATCTGGTAGACTGTCAATGATGATTAGACGATGTATGGAATCTGGTGGACTGTCAATGATGATTAGACGAGGTATGGAATCTGGTAGACTGTCAAAGATGATTAGACGAGGTATGGAATCTGGTGGACTGTCAAAGATGATTAGACGAGGTATGGAATCTGGTGGACTGTCAAAGATAATTAGACGAGGTATGGAATCTGGTGGACTGTCAAAGATATTTAGACGATGTATGGAATCTGGTAGACTGTCAAAGATGATTAGACGAGGTATGGAATCTGGTGGACTGTCAAAGATGATTAGACGAGGTATGGAATCTGGTGGACTGTCAAAGATGATTAGACGAGGTATGGAATCTGGTGGACTGTCAAAGATATTTAGACGAGGTATGGAATCTGGTGGACTGTCAAAGATGATTAGACGAGGTATGGAATCTGGTGGACTGTCAAAGACGAATAGACGAGGTATGGAATCTGGTGGACTATCAAAAATGATTAGACGATGTATGGAATCTGGTGGACTGTCAAAGATGATTAGACGATGTATGGAATCTGGTGGACTGTCAATCAGGATTAGACGAGGTATGGAATCTGGTGGACTGTCAAAGATAATTAGACGAGGTATGGAATCTGGTGGACTGTCAAAGATGATCAGACGAGGTATTGTATATGTTCTACTGTCAAAGATGATTAGCCGAAGTTTGGGATGTGGTGGACTGTCAAAGACACTTAACCTCATCTTTCCGTAAACACTTTCAGTTTTCGCTTATCTTCTCTTGTCTACAGATATCACCAATACCTTGTTTCATTTTGAGTCAATATCGTACTCTGCTACATACAGAGTACCGCACGGACATTTTTCAATGCTTATTTTCGGTAATACGAAATAATCAATTCGTTTCATCGAAATATTCAATTAGTTTAAAAAAATTAACCGATTCGTTTCAACGACATATGTATATGGGCCTAATAAAAGTCAAAATAAGTACCAATTTGATCAACAATTTTGGAGTTATTGCCCTTACGACTTTGAAATAGTGTGAAATATGTCTTGTAGACAAGCTAGCATCTTCACAATGGTCAAGGTATAACGAACATTGTCATACACCTTAAGAACAAAAGACAATGTTACTACAGGTACTTGAGATATATGTCAATCAAAATAGAATTAATATTAGTTATTGCCCTGTTAATAAATTTTATAGCATCTAACAACAGACTATCTATGTTCACGCTTCGATACATAGCATCTAACAACAGGCTATCTATGTTCACGTTTCGATACATAGCAGCCGACATCCGACTATCTATGTTCTTGTCTCGATACATAGCAACTAACAACAGACTATCTATGTTCTAGTCTCGATAAATAGGAACTAACAACATACAATCTATGTTCACGTTTCGATACATAGCATCTAACAACAGACTATCTATGTTCACGTTTCGATACATAGCATCTAACAACAGGCTATCTATGTCCTAGTCTCGACACATAGCAGCCGACATCCGACTATCTATGTTCTAGTCTCGATATACAGCAACTAACAACATACTATCTATGTTCCAGTCTCGATGTATCTATGTTCTCGTCTCGATACATAGCAGCTAACAACAGACTATATATGTTCTAGTCTCGATAAATAGGAACTAACAACATACAATCTATGTTCTAGTCTCGATGTATCTATGTTCTCGTCTCGATACATAGCAGCTAACAACAGACTATCTATGTTCTCGTCTCGATACATAGCAGCTAACAACAAACTATCTATGTTCTCGTCTCGATATATAGCAACTAACAACAGACTATCTATGTTCTCGCCTCGATACATAGCAGCTAACAACAGACTATCTATGTTCTCGTCTCGATACATAGCAGCTAACAACAGACTCTCAATGTTCTCGTATCGATACATAGCAGCTAACAACAGACTATCAATGTTCTCGTCTCGATACATAGCATCTAACAACAGACTATCTATGTTCTCGCCTCGATACATAGCAGCTAACAACAGACTATCTATGTTCTCGTCTCGATACATAGCAGCTAACAACAGACTATCTATGTTCTCGTCTCGATACATAGCAGCTAACAACAGACTATCTATGTTCTCGTCTCGATACATAGCAGCTACCAACAGACTATCTATGTTCTAGTCTCGATACATAGCAACTAACAACAGACTATCTATGTTCTCGTCTCGATACATAGCAACTAACAACAGACTATCTATGTTCTCGTCTCGATATATAGCAACTAACAACATACTATCTATGTTCTCGTCTCGATACATAGCAGCTAACAACATACTATCTATGTTCTAGTCTCGATACATAGCAGCTAACAACATACTATCTATGTTCTCGTCTCGATACATAGCAGCTAACAATAGACTATCTATGTTCTCGTCTCGATACATAGCAGCTAACAACATACTATCTATGTTCTCGTCTCGATACATAGCAACTAACAACAGACTATCTGTCTGGGAAATAAAACAGCAGCAGAAAATCAAGGGCGCCCAAGTCGTCAAAAGGGCGCGCAAAGCCCTTTTTAGACACAGCAAATGTCTGCAATTGGCACAGCCATTTTTTTTTATATAAAAAACAGTGTTTAATCATGCGCACTATGAGGCACTATTCAGGAAAGGTCGTCGTTTTAGTCACTTAAATATTTGCAAGCATGCAGGTGAAGGCTACATAAATTTTCCATAAAAACAGTTTTAAACAAAACATCTATGGTCAAAGCAGGAAGCTTTTTGTCCGAATAATGACTTTGATTTTGGTATGCTGTGCAGCGGAACTTTTGAGATTTGCAGGATAAAGCAATTGTTTGTTAAAAGGCCAACATCTTGATGCAGATGGAAAATATTGAAATCTGCACACACAGACATGTTAACTAACTAGTTAACTAGTGACCAGGAGGCTCTAAGCTCTTCGACAGCTGAACACACCTTTTCTGAAACGAGTCAAGTATCGAATACAGCTTTGACGGGTGTGACTCTAGATAGGGTATGCTTAATCTTCTAGACAACTGATACCACTTTTCATTATGAAATTCTTCCTCACTTATGATTGATGTACTTTCTGATATGAAGTTTCGCCAATATGTTGTTTTGATTTTAGGTTTCGATTTGCGGTTCGGATCAAAAGTACCTGGTTATCTACAGGAATTGCTAATACAATCTATTGGCAACGATCTCAGCGGCGATTATTGGCTTGCGTATATGGAGTTGTTATGCCGCTCGTCTAAAGACATCCTCGATTCCGACGATCTCAGCGGCGATTATTGGCGAAAATGGCGTCAACTGAATGCTATCTGACGCTCGCTTCAAGTAAGTTTTGCATTATTGACGAACGTGTCTAAAAGTTATATATATATATATATATATATTGGATTGTACAAAAGGCGCAGTTGTGTAGGGGCGCCAAAACGATTTTTGCCCCTCCAGCCAATTTGGATCCAACACGCCACTGTTGTAAAAACTGCAAAAAATGTTTTCGTGGCAAACTGGAAAGTGTATACATTTAGTAGTCGTATAAGATACGTTAGCAACCAAAAACAAAACAAAGAACAAAGAACAAAGAAGGAAACTTAATGAGGTAATGTCTGGTAAATTGGTAGTCTGTTAAGCATTTTCTTATCTTCATATCATTGATGTAAGTTAAAACAACAATTTTTAAATTGTACAAAAATCAATATTATGTTCTCATGTTTAAAACCGACCACTTAAATATATTTGTATAATTGATGCATGTTTCTTTTCGACGCAGAAAAGTTGAAAATAAAAGTTTTGTCACTATCTTCAGAATCAATTGTTTCGTATCGTCAAGTCAAACCGAGGAAAATGTTGTCGATATTGTTGAGGTGTATGTTTATATTTGTAATTGGTGAATCTTTTGAGATAATCACTAAAACTTATTTCTCTTTCGCAAATGATCAACTGTTTTCAGGATATTATGATGATAGAGTTGAACCTGAACGGTTACGATGTGCACAATCTTGTTATGATAATAACGTATGTTTTGGTGTTGCGTATCATAAAGGGCGACAGATATGCTATGTTTATAATCAGTTTCCACATTCACCAATAGTAGATGTTGGTATGGTTACGTTTTTACCCGAAGGTAAAGTTTGATATTAAAAACTATTTACACCGTTCTACCTTTCTCCATAACTTCATCTAGCATTAGTAAAACACTGTTACTGAACACGTATCCTAATCTTCAACAGAGGTGCTGAAACTAGAACTGTTTCGTGTTCATAGGCGAAGTACAGTCACTATTTTAATCACCACGTTGAAAGCTAACGTGTTCATAATCTTCAACAGAGGTGTTTGGACTAGTCTCTTTTAGCTTTGTAATTTTTTGCCAGATATATATATATATATATATCACGATTCTAGGTGTCATACCTGCGATTACATACATGTTTCTCATTATTTCGAAAACAAGAAAAACGGAAACATTTTCGAACATTCTTTCATGCTTTGATAAAAACATCATATACCTCATTTCCTGTAAAATAATGCGACAATATGTTGGCTAAACCCAAAACGCTTTCCTCACTCGATTAAGCGGTCATTTCACTGACATTCCTCACAAAAAGTTTCTATACCTACAACTACCAAATTACACAGGGAAAGTTTCTGGATATACCAATTACAAACAAGTGTACCTAACGGCCCAACTATCCAGCATGACAATCAAATTATACCCTTCGCTGCCACCTGCAATTCTACAACTAATGTAATGTAATACATATATGTAATATCTTGATCATTGTAAAGATGAAGATGTAATATATTGATCATTGTAAAGATGAAGATGTAATATCTTGATCATTGTAGAAAATGAAGATGTAATATCTTGATCATTGTAGAAGATGAAGATGTAATATCTTGATCATTGTAAAGATGAAGATGTAATATCTTGATCATTGTAGAAAATGAAGATGTAATATCTTGATCATTGTAGATAATGAAGATGTAATATCATGATCATTGTAAAGATGAAGATGTAATATCTTGATCATTGTAGAAAATGAAGATGTAATATTTTGATCATTGTAGATAATGAAGATGTAATATCTTGATCATTGTAAAGATGAAGATGTAATATCTTGATCATTGTAGAAAATGAAGATGTAATATCTTGATCATTGTAAAGATGAAGATGTAATATCTTGATCATTGTAGAAGATGAAGATGTAATATCTTGATCATTGTAAAGATGAAGATGTAATATCTTGACCATTGTGATTATGAAGATGTTATATCTTGACCATTGTAGAAATTGAAGATGTAATATCTTGATCATTGTGAAAATAAAGATGTAATATCTTGATCATTGTAAAGATGAAGGTGTAATATCTTGATCATTGTAAAGATGAAAATGTAATACCTTGATCATTGTGATGATGAAGATGTAATATCTTGATCAGTGTAGAAGATGAAGATGTAATATCTTGATCATTGTAAAGATGAAGATGTAATATCTTGATCATTGTAGAAGATGAAGATGTAATATCTTGATCATTGTAGAAGATGAATACCGCCAAAATAAGAGAGTTTCTAATGAAAACATATATGAATTTATTGACTGATTTTTCAGATGCCTCTTATCGAGTAGAAGTAAAAACAGGAGATGCAAGTACAGCAAAAACAGACGCCAAAGCATATGTGAGAATTTACGGTAGTTATGGAGACACGGGTCCTTTACAACTAGACCAATCTCTTAATCATTCTGATCCGTTTCATCGAAACTACATTGATACTTTTATACTTACAGCTCCGGTCATTGGACAGGTAAGGAAATCCGATAACCATAGAAATAAAGTCTGAACATAAAATATGTTCTACAAAATTTGCAGCAGGGTTTCACTTGTATTTCTTTTATCTTATCTTAACACTGTTTTTCTTGGTGTTTATTTTAATCGTAAATGTTCGATATTTGACCCACTGTGGGCAAATCTAGGTGTTAATCTAGATCATAACCACCTTCATCCCTTGATTTTAACTTTCCATAGGAGATTTTGACAGAGTGTAGTTAGTCTTAGAAACAAAACAAATTTCCAAAGTGTAGGTCCGGATCTCAATATTAAATATAAAAAGTATTATAATTTTAGTTTATATAGATATGAAAATTTGGAGGTAAAGAACCCAGAATTTGGTTTTGAACAGTTTTTTTTGTATTTAGCATATCTGAAATATCGTAGAAAGATAGATTATCGAAAAATTCCTCTCACTTGAACGTTTCTCTGAAACACACTATTATTACTATTAGTATGTTTACTTTTTGATTTTAGATGGAAAAAATTAAGATAGGACATGACAACTCTGGATTAGATCCTGGTTGGTACTTAGATACAGTTACTATTGATATACCATATGAAGGTCGACGTTATGTGTTTGTGTGTAATCGATGGTTAACTGAATTTAATAATGGATCGATTGAAAAAGAACTTCAGCCAACTAGTTCAGAAGGTAATTATTAAAATCAATTTAGACATTATGAAGAGACTAACTGTAGCGAAGAATTGTTGAAAATTGTTTTATTTTTGACCAAATGCAGAAGTCCAAGACCGCTAATCTTATGTTTGATTTATATTTTAGAATTGTAATACACGTGATAGGAAATATAATCAACTGTCAGACGATGATAACCAAAGGAGTGACACATCGCTAACGATTTATGTAATTTACATTATTAAAAGTAGTATATTGTAATTATTGAAATAGACGTGATATTATATTGTTAATGCAGGTTATGTTAAAGGTAATATAGATTAATAAAAGTTGTATATTATAATTATTAAGAGGGAATTGATATTATATTGTTAGTATAGGTTTATGTTAAAGGTAATGCAAATTAATAAAAGTTGTATATTATAATTATTGAGAGGGAATTGATATTATATTGTTGATGTAGGTTTATGTTAAAGGTAATGCAAATTAATAAAAGTAGTATATTATAATTATAGAGAGGGAATTGATATTATATTGTTGATGTAGGTTTATGTTAAAGGTAATACAAATTAATAAAAGTTGTATATTATAATTATTGAGAGGGAATTGATATTATATTGTTAGTGTAGGTTTATGTTAAAGGTAATATAAATTAATAAAAGTTGTATATTATAATTATTGAGAAGGAATTGATATTATATTGTTAGTGTAGGTTTATGTTAAAGGTATTGTATATTATAATTATTGAGAGGGAATTGATATTATATTGTTGGTGTAGGTTTATGTTAAAGGTAATATAACTTATTAAAAGTTGTATAGGGCCGAGTTTCACTGCCATGTCCTTCGACCCGACCAGATCTCGCGAAGTATCAACAACCAAACCAACAACACTGCTTCATCATACAAAGCAACTAACAACAGACTATCTATGTTTTTGTCTCGATATATAGCAACTAACAACAGATTCTCTATGTGCTCGTCTCGATACATAGCAACTAACAACAGACCCTCTATGTGCTCGTCTCGATACATAGCAACTAACAACTGACTCTTTATGCTTCTGTCTCCTTACATAGCAACTAACAACTGACTCTTTATGCTTCTGTCTCCTTACATAGCAACTAACAACTGATTCTTTATGCTTCTGTCTCTTTACATAGCAACTAACAACTGACTCTTTATGCTTCTGTCTCCTTACATAGCAACTAACAACTGATTCTTTATGCTTCTGTCTCCTTACATAGCAACTAACAACTGACTCTTTATGCTTTTGTCTCCTTACATAGCAACTAACAACTGATTCTTTATGCTTCTGTCTCCTTACATAGCAACTAACAACTGACTCTTTATGCTTCTGTCTCCTTACATAGCAACTAACAACTGACTCTTTATGCTTCTGTCTCCTTACATAGCAACTAACAACTGATTCTTTATGCTTCTGTCTCCTTACATAGCAACTAACAACTGACTCTTTATGCTTCTGTCTCCTTACATAGCAACTAACAACGGACTCCTTATGCTTCTGTCTCCTTACATAGCAACTACCAACAGACTCTCTATGTTTTTGTCTCGATACATAGCAACTAATAACAGATTATCTATGTTTTTTTCTCGACATATAAAAGCTAACAACAGACTCTCTATGTTCTTGTCTCGATACATAGCAACTAATAACAGATTATCTATGTTTTTGTCTCGATAAATAAAAGCTAACAACAGACTCTCTATGTTCTTGTCTCGATACTTAGCAACTAATAACAGATTATCTATGTTTTTGTCTCGATATATAACAGCTAACAACAGACTCTCTATGTTCTTGTCTCGATACATAGCAACTAACAACAGACTTTCTATGTTTTTGTCTCGATATATAGCAGCTAACAACAGAATATCTATGTTTTTGTCTCGATACATACCAGCTAACAACATTCTATCTATGTGCTCATCTCGATACATATCAGCTAACAACAGAATATCTATGTTTTTGTCTCGATACATACCAGCTAACAACATTCTATCTATGTGCTCATCTCGATACATATCAGCTAACAACAGAATATCTATGTTTTTGTCTCGATACATACCAGCTAACAACATTCTATCTATGTGCTCATCTCGATACATAGCAGCTAACAACAGAATATCTATGTTTTTGTCCCAATACATATCAGCTAACAACAGTCTATCTATGTTATCGTCCCGATACATAGCAGCTAACAACAGTCTATGTATGTTCTCGTCTCGATACATAGCATCTAACAACAGACTATCTATGTGCGCGTCTCGATATATAGCAACTAACAACAGACTTTCAATGTTCTCGTATCGATATATAGCAACTAACAACAGTCTATCTATGTTCTCTAACAATCAATAATAAGAAAATTGATGCATGTTTCTTTTAAACGCAGAAACGTCTTGTCACTATCTTCAGAATCAATTGTTTCGTATCGTCAAGTCTAACCGAGGAAAATGTTGTCGATATTGTTGAGATGTGTGTTTATATTTGTAATTGGTGAATCTTTTGAGATAATCTCTAAAACGTATCTCTCTTTCTCAAATGACCAACTGTTTTCAGGATATTATGATTATAGAGTTTTACCTGGACGAATACGATGTGCACAATCTTGTTTAGCCGATGACGTATGTTTTGGTGTTGCGTATCATAAAGGGCGACAGATATGCTATGCTTATAATCAGTTTCCACATTCACCAATAGAAGATGTTGGTATGGTTACATTTTTACCCGAAGGTAAAGTTTGACATTAAAAACTATTTACACCGTTCTACCTTTCTCCATAACTTCATCTAGCATTAGTAAAACACTGTTAATGAACACGTATCCTAATCTTCAACAGAGGTGCTGAAACTAGAACTGTTTCGTGTTCATAGGCGAAGTACAGTCACTATTTTAATCACCACGTTGAAAGCTAAATCATGTTGTTGAAATAGAAACACAAATTAAATTTTAGAAATCTGTTCGTGTATAATTTATGACGTTTTTAGATTTTGGGTTGCGTTTTGCGGTTCAGATCGTTAGTACTTGGTTTATTTATTAATAATGATAATAGTGCAAACGACTTTTAAAATTGTATTAGACTGATGCTCAGAGGATGTATAAAGCTGATCAATGTTACAAGCATCATAAGACAGAAAGTGTCCTTTCAGGTCCCACGTCTGCAGCAACCTCTCTCATGTAAACCAGAGAGTTTACGCAGTTCTTGTTGTCGCTATTGGGTGAGTGCAAAGGCCAGAGATCAAAGAGAAGTCGTGATGTAATATATAAAGGATATTATGTAATATGACATCGGTAAAATGAGTTGCCACGACCAGGGAATATTTAATTCGGCTACAATTTTCATAAATTTCATATATCATAAGCACTACTGAAAGATTCTATTTATCACACAAATATCATTGAAGAACTTGAAGATGTAATATCTTGACCATTGTAGAAGATGAAGATGTAATATCTTGATCATTGTAGAAGATGAAGATGTTATATCTTGATCATTGTAGAACATGAAGATGCAATATCTTGATCATTGTAGAAGATGAAGATGTAATATCTTGATCAGTGTAGAAGATGAAGATGTAATATCTTGATCATTGTAGAAATTGAAGATGTAATATCTTGATCATTGTAGAAGATGAAGATGTAATATCTTGATCATTGTAAAGATGAAGATGTAATATCTTGATCAGTGTAGAAGATGAAGATGTAATATCTTGATCATTGTAGAAGATGAAGATATAATATCTTGACCAGTGTAGAAGATGAAGATGTAATATCTTGACCAGTGTAAAAGATGAAGATGTAATATCTTGATCATTGTGAAGATGAAGATGTAATATCTCGATCATTGTAGAAGATGAAGATGTAATATCTTGATCATTGTAAAGATGAAGATGTAATATCTCGATCATTGTAGAAGATGAAGATGTAATATCTTGATCATTGTGAAGATGAAGATGTAATATCTCGATCATTGTAGAAGATGAAGATGTAATATCTCGATCATTGTGAAGATGAAGATGTAATATCTCGATCATTGTAGAAGATGAAGATGTAATATCTTGATCATTGTGAAGATGAAGATGTAATATCTCGATCATTGTAGAAGATGAAGATGTAATATCATGATCATTGTAAAGATGAAGATGTAATATCTCGATCATTGTAGAAGATGAAGATGTAATATCTTGATCATTGTAGAAGATGAAGATGTAATATCTTGATCATTGTAGAAGATGAAGATGTAATATCTTGATCATTGTAACGATGAATATGTAATATTGATCATTGTAGAAGATGATGATGTAATATCTTGATCATTGTAGAAGATGAAGATGTAATATCTTGATCATTGTAGAAATTGAAGATGTAATATCTTGATCATTGTGAAAATAAAGATGTAATATCTTGATCATTGTAGAATTTGAAGATGTAATATCTTGATCATTGTAAAGATGAAGATGTAATATCTTGATCATTGTAGAAGATGAAGATGTAGTATCTTGATCATTGTAGAAGACAAAGATGTAATATCTTGATCATTGTAGAAGATGAAGATGTAATATCTTGATCATTGTAAAGATGAAGATGTAATATCTTGGTCATTGTAGAAATTGAAGATGTTATATCTTGATCATTGTAGAAGATGAAGATGTAATATCTTGATCATTGTGAAGATGAAGATGTAATATCTTGATCATTGTAGAAATTGAAGATGTAATATCTTGATCATTGTAGAAGATGAAGATGTAATATCTTGATCATTGTGAAGATGAAGATGTAATATCTTGATCATTGTAGAAATTGAAGATGTTATATCTTGATCATTGTAGAAGATGATTAGTACCAAAGTATCTAAAGAAAGCACATATAAAATTGTTGACTGATTTTTCAGATACCTCGTATCAAGTAGAAGTAAAAACAGGAAATATACATGAAGCAGGGACGGACGCCAAAGTTACTCTGAGAATTTATGGTAGTCTTGGAGACACAGGTCCTTTACAACTAGACCAATCACTTAATCATTCTGATCCGTTTCAACGAAACTACATTGATACTTTTATACTTACAGCTCCGGTCATTGGACAGGTAAGGAAATTAGATAACCATAGAAATAAAGTCTGAACATAAAGTTTGTTCTACAAAATTTGCAGCAGGGTTTTTCTTTTTTTTCTTTTATCATATCTTGGCCCTGTCTTTCTTAATGTATTGTATGTACATGTATATCGTAAAGGTCCGATATTTGACCCTCTGTGGGTAAATTTGGGTG